TCTTACAATATGACTTGAAATTCTCAATTCCATTTAATAAATAATTTTTGTAAATTTAATAGTACCCTGATAAATAAAAATGAAAGACGAAGGAAGAAAAAGAGAAAAAGAAGGCAGAAAATTTTAATAATATGGTCCCCAACAGTGGTTGAATTAAAGTCTGGAACTCTGGGGTGTCACGTTCAGTTAACAGTAATGGGCTGAACAGCATGTGAGAGGTTGGGGAGAACAGTTGGTGGTTGCACATATTTAGCTGTTCCCTTCTGGCAATACTTTCTACTGGGCTTTCTCTGGAGCACAATAAGCCCAAACATTTTCTCTTTATGACAGTGAATCCCCCCTAAGCAAAGGGAATTATAAAGTTGTTTGTCGTCATTTAGGTTTGTATGGTTTATGAGGAGATTATGCAAAGAAAATTTCTCATGATTTCTCTAATTCGACAAAGATGGGATACATTTTATGCTAACCTTTGCTATAATTAACAACAAAAGAGAACAAGAAACCTTGATTTTTTTCTTGGATCAAAGGACATCCTCCTATCACCGTATCATTACATATGTAATGATTGGAACATTGAGATTTCTCAAGATCTGGGGCTGTCATTTATGAATAGACTAAAGCTTCATTGGCATCCTTGCCTTTGAATGAATCAAGGATCAATTGTTTGTTGTACTTTTTATTTTTCCTCAATACCTGAAAATGACATTATATTAGACAGCTAATTGGTGTGGAAGGTGTTCTGTTCAAAAGAACAGATTTATAGATGGTCAAAAGTCTAAATTTTGAAAATAAAATTCAATGGAGAAAAAGTGTAAAATGACAAAGTTGGGACAACTTTTTGCTTTTGTAAAGTTATTAAGGGTTTTAGAAGGAAGGCTTGGAGCCCGTTTAGGTAAAATACAAAAAAAAAAAATCTGAATTTTTGCAAGAGTGTTTTATTTTCTCTTTATTTGTATTATTTTACTATGAATTAATATAAGGAAACACAAAAATCATAACGTCTTGTCTTTAAAAATAACATAATATTTAATAATAGTTACATGATAAATTTGATAAAATTAAGATTCATATTATACTCCACACATTTAATAATTATGATTTGATATCTTGATATTTTTAATATCGATAAATTTTAATTTTTCTTTTTCTCAATAATATATATTATAAATAGTTAGATATTTTGAAAATTCATACATTAAAATAAATAAATTACTACCTTTGAAAGCGCTGTAACTTATTTTACATATCAAACTAATAAGAATTTTTTTTTTAACAAGTTGTCAAGGACGGACTTGAAACCCGTCTATGGGAGAGAGGGGAAATGCATCTCAAACTGGCAGAGTACCAATTGGTCGGCAGGTGCAAACTAATAAGATTTTGTTGTTGAAAAAAATAAAAAACCTAATAACAGTTTGTTGAGTTGATTAATATCGAACTTAATATTAACGTGTAAATGCTAAATAGCTAATTTTTTTTTTTCACTAATATGATCATTTTAAGGTCAAAGGAATGAACCAATTTTTACAACCATTTGCAAATAAATAAATGATAAGTAAATGAACCGGCCTCAATGGTTCCACCCCAAAACTTTAAGCGCTTGAGTGAGCTGGTCGGAGTTTCGAATTCCACCACCATCGTGAACTCCACCAAAAAGCAGCTTGATGTCCACGTGCCTCATTTGAAAGGGTAGAATATTCATCCGGTTTGAGAATCAATTGCTAACAACTAATTCATATTAACTTTTTAATCATTATCCTTGTCAAAAAAAAAAAATGGTAAGTAAATAAATAGACAAACAAAAATGGAAAACATTTTATTTTTTTCCACTATTGACCCTTTTATTTTAATTTTTTATTGTTTTCTTTTTGTTGATAAATCGATCCCCCACCTTTCAGAATTCACGTTTGGGTCCATTCTCATTTCAATAGCCATGGCATTTGGCAGTGGCTGAAGACAATCGAATCAGTTTCTTTTCACTTCTCCACACAACACAAAGACATCACCAAACCTCAATCTTCCTTCTCTTTTTTCTCTTCCCCAACCCCAACACCTTGTGGTTCTCCTTATCCGATCTGATTCTCCTCCCAAAGCCCAGATACCCTTTCTCCTCCCTCTTCCCCTGATCCAATTCCCAGGGCCGCAGAGTAATCGAAGACCCATTATGCATTGAACCCAGAAACAGCCGAAGAAGAAGCAGGTAACACAACCCAGAAGCCGGAATTTTGTTGTGCTTGTGTTCTGCTTCGGATCCGATCGGTAGATTGTATTTCCGGGCACTCCCTGAATTGAAATGGGAATGTCCGCAAAGAAAGCATGAGCAAAAACCCCGGTGGCGATAACAACAACGACGAAGACGAAGACGAGTGCTTCTACGAGTCCCTTGATCGCATTGCCTCTTCCAATTCCTGTTCCTGTTCCAACTCCGCATCGGCTTCCGACTCCGATTCCGACCCTGTTCCTCGCTCGGATTCCCCCTCCAGCTATGCCAACCCATTTCCCGTCCCTAAATTTCCTATGGCGGTATCCAAGTTTGACATATGGATCTCTGAACCAGCGTCGGTGTCTGAACGCCGGACTCGTCTCCTTCGCGAGATGGGGCTCAGCCATGACCCGGGTCTGTCCCGCTCGAGACCTGAGTCCGATAGTGGTGGAAGTGGGAAGGGCAATGGGGACTTTGCCCGATCATTGTCCTCCGATCGGTTGAATAGGCAAGAGAACGAGCAAGATCAGGGGGAGGACACTGGCATAATCCGATCGAAATCGGACGGTGCAAGAGTGCGCAACGGTGGTGGTGGTGGTCACGGTGATTGCAATATGTCTACTGTTTCTTCTTCATTTTCTGTTTGTTCGTCTTCCATTCCTTCTGCTGGTTGCTCTGTCTCTAGAGATGCTGAAACTGATGGTTGTTCTTCTTCTTCTCATTTTGTAAATAATAATAACCATGACTTTGATTTAAAAAATCGGGATCCTGATGTTATGGACGGGGTTAAGTTGAAAAGCAGCAAAAGTAAAGGATCTACTGATAGTGGTCGTGTTGCTAGTGATGTTTTGCCTAATAAGCCACCCATGGGAAACAATTGTATGAGCCCTTCTACAAGTCTGAATGCTGGGTTTGGCTGCAATTCGTCGTCTAATCTGCGGGATGCCAGCAGCGGTGCAGATGTGGAGGAGGAGTTGGACTTAAGTGAACAAGTGTGTACAATTAAGAATCTTGATAATGGCAAAGAGTTTGTGGTGAATGAGATTAGAGAAGATGGGATGTGGAACAAGTTAAAGGAAGTGGGGACTGGGAGGCAGTTGACAATGGAGGAGTTTGAGATGTGTGTGGGGCATTCTCCCATTGTGCAAGAATTGATGAGGCGGCAGAATGTTGAGGAGGGCCATAAAAATAATGTTGATTCAAATGCAAATGGCAATGTTAGCGGTATATCAAAATTGAAGAAGAAAGGGGGCTGGTTGAAGAGCATTAGGAGTGTTGCAAACAGTGTAAAAGGCCACAAGGAAAGACGGAGTAGTGATGAGAGGGATACTTCATCCGAGAAGGGTGGGAGGAGGTCAAGCTCTGCCACAGATGATAGCCAAGATGTTTCTTTTCATGGACCAGAGAGAGTGAGGGTGAGGCAGTATGGAAAGTCATCTAAAGAGCTCACAGCTTTGTACAAGTGCCAAGAGATACAGGCACATAATGGGTTTATTTGGTGTATCAAGTTTAGTTTGGATGGAAGGTATCTTGCAAGTGCAGGTGAGGATTGTGTTATTCATGTTTGGCAGGTAGTGGAGACAGAGAGGAAAGGAGAGTTGTTGATGGAAAAGCCAGATGATGGGAATCTGAATTTGTTGCTTTTGGCTAATGGTTCTCCGGAACGATCACTGTTGTCACCAGGTGGGGATAGCCATCTGGAGAAGAAGAGAAGAGGGAGACCATCTATAAGCCGAAAGTCAGTGAGTTTGGAGCATGTTGTGGTGCCAGAGACAGTTTTTGCACTTTTGGAAAAACCCATTTGTTCATTCCAAGGGCATCTGAATGCTGTGCTTGACCTTTCATGGTCCAAGTCTCAGGTGAGTTATCATTTTGAATGTAAAGTCATCTGTTTGGTTTTTGCTAACCTGCTTTGTTTGAAGTACTAATTCCAGTCTATAGTCTGTGTATAGTTTGGGTGATCAATATGATTTATATTTTGGCATTTAGCCTATGGTAGACCTTGGAATTAAATTTTCCCTTCAAAAGCTTTATAGTTTTGGATATAATTTCTCATCCTGAATCTGAAATATTACTAGTCTTGAAGATTCTTATTGTCTGTACATTTAGTTTGGGTGATCAATAAAGTATGCTTTATATTAGCATTTAGTCTATGATGAAATTTTCTACATAGTGTCCTATTTTAATTGAGTTTTTAATTCTCATTGAGGTGTATTTCATTAATCCGTTTTCTAGAAGGTTTTTAGCGAAAGCATGGTAGCAAGCAGAAGATGCATGGAACCTAGAAAATCCAACTTGACATTAAATAATACTTGTATTTACACAAGTGTGAGAATACAAGTTTGACTAATTGTTGACTTAAATAGTCTCTATTTAGGTTAGCTATTCTTTGTCATATGATGAACACACTGTGGAACTGAAGATTTGTTACCAAGTTTCCCAATAGCTGCTTTTAGCATCATGAACCAATGGCATATTGCTGCTGAATCTCCGATTAAGGATTCTATGCTTCTTTCTTTTTCAGCATTTGCTCTCATCATCCATGGACAAGACAGTGCGGCTATGGCACTTGTCCAGCAAGACATGTTTAAAAGTATTTTCACACAGTGACTATGGTAAGTACATTTCTTTACATCATCCATTGTTGACATTTGTCCTAGCTACTTATTATTTGTAAAATGTTATACATATCAAATTGATGAATTATTTAAGATTTATTTCCACTTTGTACTTGAAATGAATTTATTGTCAAAAGCAAATCAACAAAATGAAAAGCTCTCCCTTTTTTAGCTTGTTTATATACACCAATCACTCTTTATCTTTTTGAATCTTCTTTGTCACAGTCACTTGCATCCAGTTTAATCCAGTTGATGATAGATACTTTATTAGTGGATCTCTAGATGCTAAAGTTCGCATATGGAGCATTCCTGATCGTCAGGTTGTTGATTGGAATGATCTTCATGAAATGGTCACTGCTGCTTGCTATACACCAGATGGTCAGGTTGGGATGTTGTTAACATGCTTTCAGGTACTGCAATCTGGAATATGTTTTGCTCTGTATAGTGGCTCACTTATTTTATTGATTTTGAAGGGTGCCCTAGTTGGTTCTTACAAGGGGAGCTGCCATTTATACAACACATCTGGTACAGGCTTATGAATTCCTCTGTCTTGTATATGCATGTGTGCATGCATGTATGTGTTTCATTGTCACATTCATATAGAGGTCTGTTTACTCTTTTTTATGATGGCTGTTCTTTACTTTCAGAGAATAAGTTGCAACAAAAATTTCAAATCAATCTACAGAATAAGAAGAAGAAAGCTCATCTAAAGAAAATCACTGGTTTCCAGGTAATTGAACCTACCGTGTTGCATTATTTATAAATGATCCATATTTTCTTTCTGCCACTTGTTCACTTTGTCATTTCAGTTGCTGATTGCTTCCTTTAAACAGTTTGTGCCAGGAAGTTCATCGGAAGTGCTTATCACATCTGTAGATTCCCGAATTCGTGTTGTTGATGGGGTTGATCTTGTTCACAAGTTTAAGGGTAAGAATCATGTGATCTTGCCCTTTAAAATTGGACTTATCTCACATTAGGCATTGGTTTGATTTGAGTTAATGGTTTTATGGAGCTTAAATTTTGGTCTGTGTTATTCAATCCAAAACTTATTCTGTGTTGGACTGTCTGTTTGATTGAGCATGGTTAGTCTTCTGGCATATCCACATGCTTTTTGTGGACTTGTGCTGATTTTTCTGGATAAAACGGTTTGGTTCTTTGACAGGGTTCGGGAACACAAACAGCCAAATATCAGGTTCCCTCACAGCAAATGGAAAATATGTTGTCTCTGCTAGTGAGGACTCACATGTTTATATTTGGAAGCATGAAGCAGAATACCGAGCTAGCAGAAGTAAGGGAGTAACCACAACACACTCCTACGAGCATTTCCATTGTAAAGATGTATCTGTGGCCATCCCCTGGCCTGGAATGGGTGATGGATGGGGAATACATGATACAAATTCAAACAATCTAGATGAAGTTTCCACTGCCAATCATCCTCCTACACCTGTTGAGGAGTTTAGTGGTAATGATTCATTAACGGCATCTGGGTGCAGCAGCAGTCCACTTCATGGAACCATTGCCAGTGCAACCAACGGTTACTTCTTTGACAGAATAACAGCAACATGGCCAGAGGAGAAACTTCTTGCAGCTACGAGGAGCAGGAGTCCTAGAACCAGTGTCGATTTCTCTGGGGAATTAAACCCGAACATGTCAGCCTTGGGTATGGTGATTGTGACTGCCAGCTTAAGAGGAGAAATTAGAACTTTCCAAAACTTTGGATTGCCAGTTCGGATATAAGGCGCCAAAGTCAAATCGAGCCTCAACTACAGGGTGAAATGAGTCATAACACAAGTCAGTACAGCACAGCCACAGCCCATTTCCCCCTTAGTCACATCATGTACAGAGAGATATCGGGTGAGGCTTGTAATATTAGCGATTTTACTTTCTTCTTTCTTTTATGTTTGTGCTCATCAGATGTGAAGCAGAAAAAGGAAAGCCATTCTGATTGAGCCGAGAAAAACATAGATTTGTTCAGGGAAAAAAAAAAAAGAGGGAAAAACTACACTGTGAAGTTAGAAACCGATATATTTCAGGTATCGGAAATTGTAGAGTTATGAGCAGCGGGAAAACTTATTGAATTGGAAATGAAAATTCTTTTACAATTCATTTTCACTACTCCTTGACAATGCATCATACAATGTTGTCACAACAGGGTCAGGGAAAAATGAACCAAATGGTTCATGTGCAAAACTTTTACATATTCATTTAGTACTGAACCGAGACCTCATTGACAACAAGAAGAGTTTTGAATTGAGTCTGGGTTGTGTCTTCTTTTCAATTACAATGAGCTATGGATTACCCAAGGAACTCCCAAATTCCTGATTCAAGTGCACCCCTCCAATCCACTTAGCCTCTACAACACACCACTCACAGTTGTTTTCAACACAATAATAATAGATAAATACCTAAGCCCATAACTCGGAAAATGATCGTGTTGGTGATAGGACAAAAATATCCCCATACTAAGAGAGAAAAAAGTATTAAAATATCAGAGGAAATCCAAAACTCAAATCCTCATTGGCAGATTGAAATTGATGTGGCAGATATATTATATGGGTCTCCTAATTATCTTATCTTCTCAGCCTCTCATGTTCAAAAAGCATTCCCTTTTTTTGTCACATAATAAATGCCCACCTCCTCCCTGTATAATGCATCTCCAAAAATCTATCTATTTCACACTATACTGATAGTGCTTAAGCTCAACTCCCCTTCAAACCATTTTCAGAATTGAGAAAGGAAGGATTCTGAATAAAGCATTTCAAAGTGGTTCTTGAGATGGCTCTTCAGGGTGCTACTTTAGTTCCATCTTCTCTCTCTGTTCCTAAAGAGGTTTGTGTTTTCCTTTTTCTGTTATGATGAGGAGCAATATCTTTCTGGGGCTCATGTTATTGAGAAATGTTTGGTGTTTTTGCAGGGAAAGTCTTGTTCATCTGTGAAGCAGTCAGCTCTCTTCGGAGTTTCACTCTCAGACAATCTCAAAGCTGATTTCAGTTCTTCTGCATTAAGGTGCAAGGTAGAGTATTTTCCTTCTTCTTTTTTTCTTTTTTCCTTGCATTTTGAATTGAAATATCCTTAAATCCCAGAAAAAAAGGCTTCCATTACGGATATCTTGGCATGAGGGCACATTTCTCTGCCTCAATCCAAGGGCATGTTGAAGATGGGTTTCTTTTACTGTACTTGTTCTTTGAGTTGCCTAATGTATGTTTCTCATGCAACCAAGTTTTGTTTTCTTCTCTACAGAGGGAACTCAAACAAAGAAGTGGAGCTGTGAGGGCCGAGACGGTGGCCACAAGTGCTCCTGCGATCAGGCAGTCTCCAGTAGATGGAAAAAAGACTCTGAGAAAGGGAAGTGTTGTGATCACCGGTGCCTCCTCCGGATTGGGTCTAGCCACGGCTAAGGCTCTGGCTGAATCTGGGAAATGGGACGTTATCATGGCCTGCAGGGACTTTCTCAAGGCTGAGAGAGCTGCCAAATCGGCAGGCATTTCCAAAGAAAACTATAGCATCATGCACTTAGACCTTGCCTCGTTGGACAGTGTAAGGCAATTTGTTGACAATTTCAGGCGTTCAGGCAGGCCTCTTGATGTTCTGATCTGCAATGCAGCTGTTTACTTGCCAACTGCTAAGGAACCTACGTTCACTGCTGAAGGATTTGAGCTTAGTGTAGGGACTAACCATCTTGGTCACTTCTTGCTTTCCCGGTTATTGCTTGATGACATGAAGAAATCGGATTACCCTTCAAAGCGTCTCATCATTGTTGGATCTATAACAGGTATCGAATCAATTGATGCCTTCTAATTAAAATGCTCATACTTCTGAAAAAGAGTATCATTCATGAATTAACTTCTTGTTCCTTGTGTAAAATGAACTAGGAAATACAAATACCTTGGCTGGTAATGTACCTCCCAAGGCCAATCTTGGGGACTTGAGAGGACTTGCAGGGGGCCTGAATGGCCTGAACAGCTCTGCCATGGTTGATGGAGGTGAATTTGATGGTGCCAAGGCCTATAAGGACAGCAAAGTCTGCAACATGCTGACTATGCAAGAGTTCCACAGAAGATACCATGAGGAAACTGGCATTACTTTTGCTTCCCTTTACCCGGGTTGTATTGCCACCACAGGCTTGTTCAGAGAGCACATCCCATTGTTCAGGCTTCTCTTCCCTCCATTCCAGAAGTACATTACCAAGGGTTTTGTCTCTGAAGAGGATGCTGGCAAAAGACTTGCTCAGGTATAAGCAAAGAGGAATATAGACACCCAACTCTGATTTTTTGTGTTAAATAAACTATGCATCATGGCTGACAGATTAAAACGACTACTATTGTTTTTAATGTAGGTAGTAAGTGATCCAAGCTTGACAAAATCTGGTGTTTACTGGAGCTGGAACAAGGACTCAGCTTCATTTGAGAACAAGTTGTCTCAGGAAGCTAGTGATTCAGAGAAGGCACGCAGGGTGTGGGAGGTTAGCGAGAAACTTGTTGGTCTGGCCTAATTGAGGGTTTAAGATTACACTAATTGTTTCCACGGTAAAGCCTGGTTACTGCCGGTGGAGAACTGGGTCCGTTTGTTGATGTTGGTTTTCAATTGAGAAGCTGTTCTGTTGTTAAATATTTTTGTCTTGTTGAAGTAGATGACTCTGAATTACAGTCAATAAAATCACTCATCCTGTTGCAAGCTACAAATTTTATGAACGAACTTTGAAAAGCGAAGTAGAGAATTCCGGGCCACAAATTTTGAGAAAGCAAAACTCATTCATATATTTATCTACAACAGAAACAAGGTTTCCTACACATACAGATACACTCATCAAAAGATAGGAGCATTCTAATAAAACTACATGGTTAATTGCATTGAAGTCAATTTAAAATTCATAGGCAGGAAACCTTGCCCTGGAGGGTTCACTCATGTCCAAAAAGAGATATGTCATTCCACCAACACCTTCGAACAGTGAATACGGTCGATCACCCCCATGCATTTTCCCTTCTGATATGAGCTTCTCAGCTCTATCAAGCAGAAAGGAAGCAAATGCCTTCGCTCTGTACAAGTACTTCATGTCTCCAGTTAGTCGATAGAGTGAAAGGAACACATAAGCATTTCCACTGATGCCATGACAGATGCCCACTCGCTTAAGGAGACCACGATTCCATACCACCTCAGCTGCATCCACAGCTGCTTGCAGAAACTCCTTGTCTCCAAAAACCTGATGATTTAAAATAGTGTGACATGAGAAAATTGGTTGGCTCGTGGCTACTCACAGATGTGATAAAATCATGTTACTTAGAAACTGTAATGGTTATATTATACCTAATCTTATCCAAAAAGTTTGCAAATATAATGGTAGATTAATAATGATTACCTCAGCTGCCTTTGCAAGGGTAAGACTGACACCAGGAGCACCATGACACCAATGTACAAGACGGTCTGATTCACTTCCTTCACTTGATGGGTAATTTCCACTGGGGAAACGATTCTTAATCATGTATCGAAGGGTGCCCTTGACATCCTCTGCTTCATCTGGTTTCAATTGCATGTCCATCAAAACATGCATAATTCCTGCCAGACCATGAGCAGCACCCCAGTACTTCTTTCCATGCCATTCATACATTAGTGGACATCGTACCTTGTTTGCCATTTGTCTACCGGACTTGAAAATCTCATCAGCAACTTGTCTCTACAAATTTCAAACCCAAAAAGGTATTATCTATTTTGTTTTCTTGGGATGATTTTGAAAGAAAATGGGTCTTACCATGTGCCTGGTAGATATGGTGCCTTCACCAATATGGTTGTTTAAGAAGGAACAAGCCCATAAAAACCCTACTCTCCCATATAACAGCTCATTTGGCACATCACTGGGACATTTGATCTGCTCTCAAGAGTGAGACCACATCATAAGATTCGGAAGGCAAAAATGAATATTGCAACAATGATATTGGGATAAGAATCTCCACAAGTTACCCAAAAAAAAAAAAAAAAGGGAAGAAGAAAGAGAGTAACTTACCTGTTTGAATTGTGTTAAGTAGTGATCCAGCAGCTTCTCATCACCAGCAAGCTTTGCTAGCACAGCACCAAGAGCACAAACACCAGCCCGCCCACAAATGAATGTAACATGCCTACATCCAAGGATGGATATTAGATTTATTTATTTATTTATTTTTGTTGTCTTTCATGAAATACAAAGACAAATTTTACCAAATTGCAGAACTCAAGATTCTCTTTTGTAGCATCATTACTATGAAATTTAAGAAGCATACTAGAACTCCTGGACTTTTAGATCACGAAGATGAAGAGAATATGGGTCAAGATTGGGCAAAGTGGAGAGAGTCTTGGTTGAGTCAAGTTGAGTACCCATACTACTGCATGTATTTTCAATATATACATAATTGAACAAACCTATAAGCAGAAAAGGAGAAACACCAAACACTCATTCATTTACAAATCTCCTCTGTTATGCAAGGAATTCGTCACCATTTTTAGTAGCAGAAAATAGCCTATCAGCAAATGTAATGGTGGACATAACATACTATCAAAACTTTCTTCAAGACCAAATACAGCAACCAGCAAACCAAACATTTCTACGTTTCAATTAGTTTTCAAGGAAAACCATGACTCCCTTTAGTTTTCGAACTCAGAATTAGACCTCATGTTAACAATGTAATTTTTTTTAGTTCATTATCAAGAACAAAAGGATCCATAACGGTAAAAATAAAGGAGTCCAGCCAATATTTAATCTACCATTCTGATAAAGTAGCTATTCAAGTCTGTCTTTGCAGAGAAATGAAGAATGAGTCATTACCCAGAATCTCTAGAAGCATAATCACAGGCCTTTACAATCTCACAACACAGTTTAAGATCATTCTCATTCTTGGTAACCTGGTAAGCTTTAAACACCACGAAGGCTGTCCCAAGAGCCCCAGTGTACAGAGTATAATCTTTTACACGCTTTCCTCCCAATCCCCACGTCTCCCTGACCACCTGAGACAACACTAGACAGAATCAAATACTCTTTCATAAAAGGAAGAAGAAACAAAAACCCTTTTCAAAGAAATTCGAATCCCCCACTCTCCCCACAACAATAGAATACCATCAGAAGAAAAATTGTTAATTTTTCAAGGTCTCAGCAACCCAATACTCATATTTTGGTGATTCCACTAACTTCAATCATCATCATGTGCTTAATTCTCTTCAGGGGCACAAATATAAGGAAGATAAAAGTAGAAAATTGAAGAATCCAAAACAAAGTATGAAAAGAGAAGTGGAGAGGGTACTGTTTCTTTGAGGTCGAGAGCTGATCTTTTGAGCTTCTCCGAGAGTGTGTTGTAGGGAAGGTAGAGAAGCTTCGTGAGAGAGTCTCTGGTGTTGGAAGTGATCGTTTCTCCTGCGGTGGTTTCCGGCACAAAGTCCGGCATTTCATTTGGAAAGAATCGATCAGCCATTTCCCCTATGTTCTATTTTCTCGGACTGTAACTCCAGTGAATTTGAAGACTGAAGCGAACTATTTCGTACTTTGAATTCTCTGGAACGATGAGGAAGCAGAAACAGGTGTCTCCGTAGTAGGGCGTGTTTGGTTTAGGAAGATTCTTGCAATTGCCCGAGATGGTCAAGGACACAAACCGACATTAGGTAATAGGTAATTAGGAATTTAGGACTAGGGCCCCTTTTTTTTTTTTTTTTTTTTTTAACATTAATTGAAACGTTAGGATTAAAAACGCATGGCTACTGCCCCATAATGTCTTGTTAGAGTCACACAATTTTTTTGTTTAATTGTTAAAAATAATTGATAATTATAATTATTAATTGGTGAATTATTGTTATTTATTATTTACTATAATTAAGTTAACTTATAAATTGATATTTTTAAATATTATAACTAATAATTTTTTTAAATAGTTATAAATTAATGAAATCTGTCAAATTAAATACACTTCTAATATCATTTGTTTGGCCTTAATAAAAGATTATGTAGCTTGAATTTAAATGATCAACATTGTTAATTAAAAGTTAAAATTACAAGCAAAAAATTAAAAATTAATATTAAAACCAAAATTTTGGTACGATAGAAAATTTTGAATCTTGTTATTCCAAACGAAATACAAAATTTGTTTCTTAAATAGCAATTATTTAAGAGAAACCATTTTACCAGAAAGAAATCATTTCGGTCCAAAATTAACAATAACTTAAACCAAACATGCCCTAAGAACTAGATTCTGGGACAGCCAGGCAGGCAGAATGGATAATGTTAACGTAGCGTTGAAACGGCGCCAAAAAAATATTGCAGGCCTTATGTCTGTCTGGCCCAAGGAAACAAAACGGGCTTGAAAAGAGCCCATTTTTATTTTAACTGCCCGGCCCATTAAAGGCAACAAAGAAGCCGCTGCGTTTTAGCTAGGGTTTATGCACACAGCCTTCCTTCTTCCAAACTCGCTCTGCGTCTCAGCTGCGGCCATTCTCCTTCCATATCCACTTCCATCAAGTAAAGCCAGGTTTTTTTCTTCACGATTATATTCAAAAACGATTGAAGAACAATGCCCATATCTTTTTTCTGTACTTTCTTTCTGTCTATGTTTCAATTCTGTTTTTTTTTTTCATGGGTCTTGAAGCAGTGGTTGTAATTTCATCCAGATAATCTTGTATGCAATGGGGAAGAAGCGAAAGCATAGTGAGACCCATGTTGAGGCACCTGCAAAGAAAGATGAGAGTGCTCCAGAGAGGCCAAAGCGGACGCTCGTGGGTTGGAAAGAGAAGGGTGAAGTGAAGGAAAGTGATTCTCAAGGTTTTAGGAATAAGGAGAAGGTTATGATTACGTGTTCTCGTCGTATCAATTACAGGTGGAAACTTTATTTCCTTTTCTTTTCTTTTTTCTGATTATTTATTTTGCTGTTCTTTTAGCTTTTTCTGCTTGAATTTTAGTGTAATCGGCAATCCTGTCATTTGTAGGTACCGGCATCTGATGCTGAATATGGTGTCGCTTTTGCCTCATTGTAAGAAAGATAACAAAGTTGAGTCCAAAAGTAGCAACGGTGCCACACTCAATGAGCTCATCGAGCTGAGGAGCTGTTCTTCCTGTCTTTTTTTTGAGGTAAGTTTATAAGCACTGATGTTTTCGGAACTGGTATTTCCCTTCTTTCATCTTACTTAGATCGGTTATAAACTCATAATATATGTGCTTGTATAAATGGTATGGATGTAGAGTGAATAAGTGCTGCTGTTCTCTTTTCTCTTATTTTTT